GAGAGAGAGAGAGAGAGAGAGAGAGAAGAGAAGAAAACAGGATGAAAAAAATTTGAAATGGGTTATGTACATGTACCAATATCCCATGAGGAATGTGATTATTATGCACTACAGTTACAGATAAAAATAAAAATTGAAAAAATAAGTAATTATTAAAATTCTAGGAATAGAGCAACATTTTAATGATAAAGGGGCTCTTTTGAAAGCCTACAGTAAACATACTATTTAATGGTAAAAACGTAAAAGCATCGCCTTGAAAAACAAATGTATATTCATTGTCATGGTCTTCTCTTCAAATGACTGGATTTACTAGCCTGTGAAATCAGAAAAATTAAAGTGAGTAAGTAAACTATTAAAAAGGAAAAACAAATGGGTTATCTTATAGCTTATGTAGAAATCTAAGATTCTTCAACAAATCATTAAAACAATGAGAGACAGCGCACTTGAGGGACATCTTCTGATGGGCCCTTTGCATTGCTGGATGTCCTGTAAGCCAAGGTCCAAATGGTTCTCTTGTTTCAGACTCTTTTTTATTTCTTTCTCTCTTACTGTTGCTATGCTGGAGATGGAGCGCAGGACCTCACAAGAGCTCAGTAAGCCCTCGGCTGCAGAGCTATGCCCCCCAGGCCCTTGACTATCTAAGGATGTTTGCCTGTTAACTATAGTTATCCCTTTTCATCAGATTCACTTGAGGGTCTTCCTGCTCACATCTGTTGTCAGGATGCAAAGCCTGCTCTACCATCAGGCACTGTGTCCGTGAACCAAGGAGGGAAGGAAAAGGAAGGAAACCCTTCCCAGATATTTCCTTATATCTTATTTTCCAGAACTGGGTGTCACGAACATCTTTTCCCTAACCACTGACTAAAAGAAATGAAATTGGCTTAGTCCAAATCATTTCCACCCTTTGGGGCTGGTACTTTTACACTGTGAATAATAACTTGGTTCTGGGATGAAGACACCTCTGTTGGGATCAACAGATTTCTGTCTCCTGCCTGGAAAAAATCAGGATCTGGCAACTGGGTCCAAAAGATTCAGAACTCACCATTGGTCAAGCAGTGATAGTACGGTCAGATCTGAGGGATCATTTTCCTGTCTTTGCTTTCAATATGTTCATTTTTTGTTTCAGGTGTCAAGTGTCTCATGAACAGCACAGAGCAGAATTTTGGGTTTTTCATTCACCCTCATGATCTGTTGACTGGTAAAATGGGTCTGTTTCCTTTTTTGGGACATGAGCATTTTAAAATTTATTTCTGCAATCTTATTTTGTGTTTCCCATTTACTGTGTATATTATGAATATAGTTAGCTATTACAGGGTAACGAATCACCTCAAATCCAAATAGCTCAAAACAACAAACATCTATTATCTCACAATGTCTTAGGGCTGGAAACCCAGAAGCTACACCTTCCAGATGGTGGCTTAGACTTTCGGAGGTTGCAGTCATGCTGTTGTCAGGGCTGCAACCATCTGAAAGACCTGCTGAGGCTCTGCTTGCGAGTCCACTTAAAACTGGTGCAGGGAGGGGCTACAGTTTGTCCTTCATGGGCCTGTTCCCAGCGCTGGTCAGCATGTAGCCTCCTGAGAATGAGGCGAGAGAGAGAGAGAGAGAGAGAGAGCCATCAAGATGAAAGTCATGATCACAGCCTTTTCTAATAGACAGCGCTGTGGCATGTAGCCTCCTGAGAATGAGGCGAGAGAGAGAGAGAGAGAGAGAGAGCCATCAAGATGAAAGTCATGATCACAGCCTTTTCTAATAGAGACATTAGATTTGGCAAATTCATTAAATTTAAATTTTAGAGACTACTTCCATATTTGCATGGGATGCACTTCACTAAAAAAATCATTCATTGCTTGCTTGAAACTCTAAATTGCTTGTGCTTCCTGTATTTTATTTGTAACCCTGCTAATAATCTTGGACCAGGACTGGCTACATAATTTACAAGGCCCCTCAGTAAAATAGTGCTAAGAGGGGCCCAGGATGTAGATCGGCAGTGGAGCACTTGCCTAGCATGTGAGAGAGCTTGGGCTCCATCCTCAGCACCACAGGCGGAAAAAATGATGTTAAAAATTTCCAACTGGGGAAATCAGAGCATTAAGCCAAGCATGGAAGTCTTTTGTGGGTGAATTTGACAGCCCCCGCTTCTGCCATGTTCTGTCGGAGAGAAACAAGTCATGGAGTCCAGCTGGCTCATCGTGGGCGAGGTCCACACAAGGGCATGGGCTGGGGATTTCCGGAACCATCTCAGAAATCAGCAACTGCACCAAGTTTTCCTTTGCTTCTTTTATTTGTCGTTTCCTGCTTGGTGGAAGATTGTCTGGATTTCCTTCATTTCCTGATTTCCTCTCTACTGGTTTGGAATATATTCTATTCCTGTTCTTTCATGAGTCACCATTAAATTTCTAACCTGCATAGCTCAGTTAACAATGTCTGAAGTCAATCAATATCTCCCTCTGAAATAACTGTAGGATGCCTTTGAACTCTGATCATAGCTTCCTGACTCTCATTTTGCCATTTTCTAGTGTTTTAGTCTTTGTTTTATTCTTAAATCAATCTTTAAAAATTTTTCCTTATAAAGTCTATGCTTGCTTGAATTTTGCATGTCTACTGATTTTTTTGTTCCCCATTTCTTCATCTAAGCCAGTTTTTCTTATTATCTTAGTCAATATCATACCAGAACCAGAGGTCTCCATGGTGTTTTCTAGTGGCTTTTATAACCTTGATTGCATCTCTAGTCATATCCTTCTTTTTGTTCCCAATATTGTGTATTTTGTACTAATGATTTGTTTGTTTTATTAAGGTTCTTAAAAGAATCAACTAAATTTTTTGTTCTTTTCCATATCAAACACTTTCTATTTTATCTTTATTATTTCCTTTCTTTACTCTCTTTGGGTTTTCTGATTATCTCTTTCTAGTGTCTTCAGTTGGATGTTTAATTCATTTGTTGCCAATTTTTCCTGTTTTTAATAAGCTCCGTGAAGGCTATAATTTTTCCTGCAAGTTCCACTTTAGTTTATTGTTATTCCATTTTAAATATCTTGTAATTTCCCGTATAATCTTCTTTTACCATGAATTATTTAGAAATGAGTTTTTAAGTAACCAGACATATTGGATTTCCTTGGCTAACTTTTTATTGTTGTTTTCTAATTTTATTATAGTGGAATTATAAAATGTGATGGAATGATATTGATTTTTCTTTCCCAGTGCTGGGAATTGAAACTGGGGCCTTACACACGATGGGCAAGTGCTGTACCACTAAGCTATACCTTTGGCCCAATATTGATTCTTTGGAAAAATTTCAGACTTCCTTTATTGCTAAGTATGCAGTACTGTAGTCTTTAAAAACAAGCTTGTGCTAGCTTCAGCAGCACATCTACTAAAAACAAGCTTGTAACTACTGGTTATTCTGTTGGAGAGAGGGTTGCAAGCTTTGTGTTTACCTAATGGATCGAGCTCCTTAATTATATTGTTCAAATTTCTGTATCTTCACGCAAGTTTTGCTATTTGATTCACTGGTTATAAGGAAAGTTAACTGAAAATTTCTACCAAGGGTGGTGATACATGCCCCTAGTCCCAGTTATTTGGGAGGCTGAGGCAGAAGAATTGCAAGTTTGAGCCCAGCCTGGGCAACTTAGGGAGTTAGTGAGACCCTTCTCAAAATAAATGATAAGTAGGGCTGGGGATGTAGCTTAATGTGAAGGCCTCTTATTCAGTCCCCAGTACCACACAGACTCACACAAGTCCCACTTTGTTTATAGATTTTTTACTTTCTCCTTGCATTTCTGCCAGATTTGTTTTATATAGTTCCCCAACAAATTACTATCAGATACATATACACTTATGATTATTATAGGTATTTGGCAGGTGTTTCCCTTGATGGATTACTGGTCAGGTTATGGGTTAGGCAGCTGTTACCAAAAACCCTGAAAAAAAACCACAAAGGTTTAAATAAGATACATGCTTATTTCTTATTCATTTAAAAAGTCCACAGCCGCAGTCTCTGTCTTCCTGCTTCCTGTGGGACTTGGCAAATGGGAGCCTAGCAGGAGATGAGAGGGAGAGAGGAGAGTAAGGGTGAGGTCTGTGTCCCCCCAGCTCCTTCAAGGCAGGTCACCCAGCTTTAAGGGGCTGTCCCCAGAGTCCCACCTCACCCTGCCCTTGGCTGTGCATACTTAAAGGAAGTGATTATCCTGCTGCTGGGGCTTCTGCTGCTGCTGCTGGCCCCAGAGTCTGTACTCTCTGGTGACCCTCTACCCCTGCTTTGTCATGAGCGCTTTTGAAAATAAAGTCTGTCCCAGTTCTCCTAATTAGAGTTCACCATCTGCTTCCTGTTGAAACCCTGAGTGATGGAGGCTGGCATGGTTGCAAAAGTCACTGACGCCAAATGCCTTGGGGCCAGAGTTCGCTGTGCAGTACACGCCGGCCATAGATTCCGCTCTCCCCTGTGCTCTCACACCATTGGCCTAGGCTTGCATCTGCCTGGTCCCAAAGGCTGTGGCTTTATGGTGCCCGGTGAAGAGAGCTCAGCACATCTAGGTCCCCAGAGTGTCACCCAGAGCAGGGACTCCAGTCCACCTGCAACACCTCCCCATGCCAGTCCCAACAAGTCTCAGCTTGGCCAGCGCCTGGGTACCCTAGGGACTCCTCTGTGCCCGCAGATGCTTCACTACCTCAGGTGGACGCGGGCTTTCACCATGGTGCTCATCAGCTCCTGCAGCCCTAGGGTAAGCTTGTCCTTTAAGATGATTTGCACATTCTGCTCTTGTGCTTCAGTACCAGTTTCTTCACTCTAATTCTCAGTGGGCAAACCGTCTCTCCTATTTCCTCATTCTTAGGGAGTATCTCAATCTAGGGCCACTCCCCTGGAGAGATAAGAGAAATCACTGTTTCCATTTTACAGATGGGGAAATTGAGGTGGTGCCACCACCTGCCTCACAAGCCCAAGGTCCCGAGTTCGATCCCTTGTACTCCCCAAAAGAAAATAGATGGGGAAATCGAGGCAGGGTGGAATTGGAACTTGATTCTGGGTGTGTCTGGCTTTGAGTGAGAGGCTTTCTGCAAGCTGTGTGTGGCTGGGGGGAGGTGGGGGTCCCGAATGGGGTCCTGAGAGGAGGACAGTGTCAACAGGGACCTCTAAGCCAAACTCTGGGCCTTCTCCTGGCCAGGCGGGGATACAGTATCTGAGTGAGAGGTGCAGAGTAGAGGTCGCAGCAGTGAGGTGGCCTGGGGAGTGGGACAGGCTGAGATCTGTTACCAGTCTGCCCCCTCCTGACCTCGCCTGTGTCACTGTCCAGGCCTCTGGAGGGAACGAACGTACCTGGAACACGAAGGAAACAGTAGGTGCTCAGCTCAGATCCTGCCACCAGGAGGCACTGCTGCCCAGGTTTCGGCTCCTCCTGCTGATCTCTGTCTCGTTCGCTCATCTCCATTCTTCCAGCCAAGGGCCTTGTTGTCCCTCTCCATCCTGAGAGCACAGGAGTGCAGCCCAGTCCTGCTCCCCAGATACCTATATCAGGAAGGGAATGGACAGCTGTGGTGCTGGAATGTGGTGGAGGAGGTGCCAAGGATGGATGACTGTCCAGTCAGAAGTGTCTTGTGGGAGGGGCCTTTTGAACATGACTTTCCAGTCTTAGCAGTGATTCCACTCCCCTCTGCAGACCCTGACCCCTCCTGGAAGCCCAAGGCCAATGGAGCAATGTGCAACCAACATCTCTTCCCTCAAATGGACCTGTGAGTCCCAGCCTTCAGCTCTCAATGATCTTTACACAGAGGTGGAGGCCGAGATGCCTGCTGGGGTACAGGCCAAGAGGAGGCTTCATGTGCAGCCAAGTAGCTCAGGCTTTGGGGCCTGACAAATGAGGTTCCCCATGGTAGGAAAAATAAACCTGGACTCAGGCTCAGTTTCTCCTACTGTACACTCACAGCATAGCAACAGACCATCAACAAAGAAGACAAGCCAGGCGTGGTGGTGCACACCTGTAATCCCAGCACTCAGGAGGCTGAGGCAGGAAGATCACCGTGAGTTCGAGACCAGCCTGGGCTACATAGTGAGTTCCAGGCCAGGCTCAACTGCATAGTGAGTCCCTATCTCAAAAAAAAAACGGGTGGGGGAGAACCAAAAACTAAGAAGACACATGCTACTTCGAAAGATGTGGGCATTCCTCCCCACCAGCAAGACACTGTTCTGCAGCAGGGACACCAGCAGCATCCAGTTCAGTTCAACTAGGCCTTGCTCTCAGCCTGAAACCCAGAGATTCCACAAGTTGAGAGCTATAAATCAGATTCCCCCCAGCCTCTCTGGGCAGCATCCCTCCCTCCAAGATATGGGGGAGACCCTGAGGAATGGCCTACAATCAGACAAGAAAAGGTGAGAGGATTTCTTCCAGGATGGCCCAGGGCAGAAGGGCAGGGGAAGAAGATCAGGGTTCTGTGACTCTCTTCAAAGAACTTCTGGCTTCTATGGCCTATCTTGGAGCATGATGTACTTTGGAGAGGACATTATGAGCCAGGAACTGTGGACAAGAACAAAAAAATATATGTCGTAACAGGACACCCAGCATTTCCGCATCACGTGTCCTTGGCCAAGTCCTTTAGCTTCTCTTTGCCCACCCCCAGCCTGTCTCCTCCCTGTAAAGAGGGGACAAGTAGACTTTGCCTGTGGTGCGGGTCCCCCAGGATGCCTCCCCTGCACCCACCTCTGACAGACAGAATGGCCTCGCTCCATTAAGGCCTCATCCAGGTACCCTGTGGCTGCCCCAGGGCAGGAAGCAAGAGGCCACCCACCCTTCGAGGCTGCTCAGCATGGCTTTGCTGCCCTTTGGGAGGGGCCTGCCTCAGCATCTCCACCAAATGGATGGGATTCTAGAAAATGTACCTCCCAGGGCCCAGGAGAGTTATCTGGGGGAAGCTGGGGAAGGGATCCTCACTGGTCAACCTCTCTGGATTGATCTCCAAGCTCACCAGAAGGCAGTGCGGTCTCTACTGAGCTCTCCCACCTATCAGCTTTGGGGACCATCTCCTCCCCTGTCCCTTGGGGCTAACAGTAGTAGTTTTTCTAGCATCTGTCCAGCATTCCTGCTTTCCTTTCTCCATCTTTGGAGTCTTCTCCTCCTCCCAACACTGACCCAGAAAGGGCTGTCTTGACACCCACCATCCTGTCCTCATAGGTGACGGCCCAGGGCTTGACACCTGACCAGAACCAGGCTCATCAGAAGACTTCCAGGCAACAGCTGTGGCCTGAAGGCTCAAGAGTCACCACCCGTCACATTCCCTTCCTGGTGGCAGAAAAACCTAGAGAGAAAGGCAGGAGAGATAGAGACACAGAGGCAAACGGGGTACGGGCAGGATCCAGTGAGCCACCATGAATGAAGCGCTGCAGGCCGAGTAGCCATGAATTCCTTTCCCGTGATGGGCCCCAGGGCAATGGGGCTTGGCAAGATGTCACAAGACGGGAGGCATCAGTGCTCCGGAGGTGATGAAGTAGGTTAGCAGCCCCTGGAAGACTAGAGTCAGGTGCCCTGGGACCCTGCAGAGCCCCACAGGAGAGCAGAATGAATGCCCAAGTGGATTATTAGGTAGCGAGGAAAGACAGAGGCCTATCCCTTTGTGGGAGAAGCTGCCAGCAGGCGCTTCCTGTGCCAGGCATGTGTTCCAGGGTCGCTGGGGTGCAGAAGATGGGTGCCAAAGGTGGTTTTCCACAGGTGAGACCACTGAGTTTGTTTTAAAAGATGCACACAACTTTGTTAGGCAGGGTAAGGGCTTGGGACGCAGCACTGGACTAACACTACCATTAGTAGAGCTGATGATTCTGAGGATTTAAAGGCCTGGGGTTTGAATATTGTCTCAACCACTTACTATGACTTTCTCTAAACTTTTGTTCCCTTATGCGCAAAACAAAGAAATTTCAGGGTTTAAAAAGGCTTAAATGAGATAATTGATGTATTCAGATTAATATGTTGTCAGAAATTTGTGGTCAAGCATTAATAAGTGCTTAACTGATTATGAAAAACTTCTATTACAGGATCACACTCAACCTCTTAAGATGATCATACCTGTTATTATCTATTGAGCCCTTAAGTTCCAAGCACTGAGCTAAACGTTAGCCTGCTTTGTCATTTAATCCTCCCACCAACACATTAAGGATGGGCAATTCTATCCAATACCACACAGAGCCAGTGTGGTTCAGACCAGGATTCAAACCCAGGTTTGTCTTAAAATTTGTATGGTTGGCACAGAGAAGGCAAGGTGCTGGCACCAGCCACACAACAGGGGACTGAGGCAGAAATGTGGCTAGGAGCGATTAGGGCTGCACCTGCTGAGCCTCCCCATCCTCCATCCTCAGACTCCACCGTCCAGCAGAGGAGCAGGCTAAGGAGGGGCTCGGCCCACAAGGCTCGGAATGGGGTGCGCAGGGCGGAGTCGAGCAGAAGCCTCCGGACCGGCCGCGCCCCTGTTCCCCTCCCTTCCCCGCCCTCTGTGCTTCCGCCAAAGATCCTGGTAGAAAATTCCAGCCTCTCCCAGGCCGAGCGGCCCCTGAACTGGGTTTTTCCAAGGAGCACGTCCTGAGGGTGCCGCCCCCGCGCTGTCCTGGGGATCACCGCTCGGCCTCGTCCCAAGGCCACCGGCCGGCCCTGACTCCTTGAGGACCGGTGGGCGGGCCAGGGGAGCCGGCTCTGGACGTCCGGGCAAACAGGAAACCAGACAAAGGCGGCCGCTTATCGCCCTCCCCCCATCCCGCATTCCTTTCAGGTGATGCCCGCGGGCCTCGGGGACGCGGGGCCGCCGGAGGGGCTGCCAGGG